CCTAACACCAAAACTAGGAAAGAATGTAAGAAAAAAAGAAACTACAGACCAGTATCCCTGACAAACATAGATCCAAAAATTCTCAACAAAATATAACTAACCGAATCAAACAGCATATCAAATAAATAAAAAGATAATTCACCATTATCAAGTGGGTTTCATGCCAGAGATGCAGGGATGGTTTAACATATGCAAGTCAATAAATGTGATACACCACATAAATAAAATTGAAAACAAAAATCACATGATCGTTTCAATAGACACAGAAAATGCATTTGACAAAATCCAGCATCTCAGCATCTCTTTAGATTAAAATCATCAGCAAAAGCGGTATAGAAGGGACATACCTTTCATTAACAAAAGCCGCCTGGCATGGTGGCTCACGTCTGTAATCCCAGCACTTTGAAAGGCCCAGGTGGGTGGATCACCTGAGGTCAGGAGTTTGAGACCAGCCTGGCCAACATGGTGAAATCCCGTCTCTACTAAAGATACAAAAAAACAACAAAAAAAAATTAGCCTGGTGTGGTGGCATGTGCCTGTAATGCTAGCTACTCAGGAGGCTGAGGAATGAGAATCACTTGAACCCGGGAGGCGGAGGTTGCAGTGAGCCAAGATCCCGCCACTGCACTCCAGCCTGGGTGACAGAGTAAGACTTTGTTTAAAAAAAAAAAAAAAAAAAAAAAAAAAAAGCAATAAAAGCCATCTGTTACAAACCCACTGCAACATTACACTGAAAAAGTTGAAAGCATTCTCCTTGAGAATGAGAATAAGACAAGGAAGTCCACTTTCACCTTTTTCACTCAATACACTACTGGAAGTCCTACCCAGAGCAATCAGACAAAAGAAAGAAATAAAGGGCATCTGTACTGGTCAAGAGGAATGATCACATACCTGGAAAACCCTAAAGACTCATCCAAAAAGCTCCTAGAACCAATAAATGAATTTATTAAAGTTTCAGGATACAAAATTAATGTACACAAACCAGTAGCACTGCTACACACCAACAGCAACCAAGCTGAGAATCAAATCAAGAACTCAACGCCTTTTATAACACTCTCTCTCTCTCTTTCAAAACTATATCTAACCAAGAAGGTGAAAGACCTTTACAAGGAAAACTATCAAACACTGCTGAAAGAAATCACAGATGACCCAAACAAATGGAAACACAGCCCATGCTCATGGGGGGGGGGGGGTGTTAGAATCAATATTGTGAAAATAACCATACTGCCAAAAGCACTCTAGAAATTCAATACCACCATCATTTTTCACAGAAGTAGAAAAACAATCCTAAAATTCCTATGGAACCAAAAAAGAGCCCATATAGTCAAAGCAAGACTAAGCAAAAAGAACAAATCTAGAGGTATCACATTACCTGACTTCAAACTACAAAAATGGGAAAAGGACACCCTATTCAACAAATGGTGCTGGGATAACTGGCAAGCCACATGCAGAAGAATGAAACTGGATCCTCATCTCTCACCCTATACAAAAAGCAATTCAGGATGGATCAAAGACTTGAATCTAAGACCTGAAACAATTAAAATTCTAGAAGATAACACTGGCTTAGGCAAAGACTTCAAGAGCAAGAACCCAACAGCAAATGCAACAAAAAAAAGGATGAATAGACGTGACTTAATTAAACTACAAAGCTTCTGCACAGCCAAAGAAATAATCAGAACAGTAAACAAAGTCAAAAGTTAAACTCTCACTGTTAGCCGATGATATGATCACGCACCTAGAAAAAGCTCATTCAAAAAGCTCCTAGACCTGATAAGTGAATTCAGCACAACTCAGAGTGGGAAAAAATATTCACAAACTATGCACCCAACAAAGAACTAATATCCAGAATCTACAGGGAACTCAAATCATCAAGAAAAAAAAAATCCCATCAGAAAGTGGTCTAAGGACATGAATGGACAATTCTGAAAAGACATGCAAATGGCCAAGAAGCATATGAAAAAAATGCCGAACATCAGTAACAGGGAAATGCAAATCAACACAACAATGTGATACTGCCTTACTCCTGTAAGAACATCTTTAATCAAAACCTAAAAAAATAATACGTGTTGGCATGAATGTGGTGAAAAGGGAACACTTTTACACTATTGCAGGAATGTAAACTAGTACAACCACTATGGAAACAGTATAGAGATTCCTCAAAGAACTAAAAGTAGATCTGCCATTTGATCCAGCAATCCCACTCCTGGGTGTCTCCCCAGAGGAAAAGAAGTCATTATACAAAAAGGGTACGTGCACCTGCATGTTTATAGCAGCACACTTCGCAAATGCAAAAATAGGAACCAGACCAAATGCCCATCAATCAAGGAATGGATAAATAAAATGTGGTATATATACCCATGGAATACTACTCAGCCATAAAAAGGAATGAAATAATGGCGTTTGTAGCAACCTGAATGGAATCAGAGCCCACTATTCTAAGCAAAGTAACTCAGGAATGGAAAACCAAACATCGTTATGTTCTCACTCCTAAGTGTGAGCTAAGCTATGAGAACACAAAGGCATAAGAATGATACAATGGACTTGAGGGACGTGAGAGAAACGGCTGGGGTGGTCAGGGATAAAGGACTCCACATTGGGTACAGTGCACACTGCTTGGGCGATGGGCACACCAAAATCCCAGAAATCACCACTAAAGAACTCATCTACGTAACCAAACACAAACTGTTCCTCCAAAACCTATTGAAATAAAAAATAATAAAACAAAAAAAGCATGACATAGAAAACAAAAACAAACCAAATTGCTACATACATAATCAAGATTATTATGTTCTTTATGTCTAGAATATCTATTTGATTCTTTTTTATAGATTCTAATTCTCTGATGAAACCCTCCTTTTTCGCCAGGTGTGGTGGTTCACGCCTGTAATTCCAGCACTCTGTGAAGCCAAGGCGGGTGGAACACATGAACTCAGGGGATTGAGACCATCCTGGCTAACACAGTGAAACCTCATCTCTACTAAAAACACAAAAATTAGTCAGGCATGGTGGCACACACCTGTGGTCCCAGCTACTCAGGAGGCTGAGGCAGGAGAATTGCTTGAACCCAGAAGGTGGAGGTTGCAGTGAGCTGATATTGCACCACTGCAGTCCAGCCTGGGTGACAGAGGAAGACTCCATCTCAAAAAAAAAAAAAAGGGAAAAAAGGAAGTTTCCTTTTTATCTCTTTAATCTATCGTTTCTTCCATCTTCTTGGGCATATTAATCAGAATTATGATAAGTCCTTGTGTGCTAAGTCAGTATTACCAAAGGGTTTGTTTATATTGTCAATCCTCTCTCTTGGAGTGATCATAGGTTCTTTTGTGTCTAGGAATTCTTAATTGAGTGCTAAGCATTGTACATTTTTAAAACTGTGGAGGCTCCTACAGCAGTTATTTTCACAGAGCACACCCCTGCTCTCCCCTGCAAGGCATATAGAACTGGGGCCTGAACACCATGGTCCCACTAGGGACAGAACTGAGTGAGGGCTGGGATGCAGTTCCGGTGAGACCCTGTGTACCTCTAGTTTGGCTTCTAGTCGTCTTTCAGTTAGGAGCCCAGCAGGTCTCTAACCCTCAGCACAATGAGCCTGGGAAATTCTGCTTCTGGAGATTCTGCTGCTTGGCTCTTTCGCCTGCTGTCCTCTTCTGCAAAAGCAACTGTAATCCCCAAACTCTGGTCTGAGGGGTTTGCCCTCTCTGGAACTGTGGTCCCTCCCATCCTTACGGACTTGCAGTTCTGGCATGGCTTTCCCATTTGATTTTTGAACTTTATTCAGCCTTCCTGGTTGTCCTTTGCAGTACTGCTGGCCTGCCACAAACCACTGCACTCTACTTGGAATCAGAAGCTGAGTCCTATGGAGGTAACTTCTGCTCTTCCCTTCCATTAAGAGGACAAGCATGACCAGCATGACTGGCCCTCCCCAGCTTTCCAGGTGAAGTACCCTATTCTGCTCTGTTCCTCTGGGCTGGTTAACTTTTGCTTTCCAAAAAAACACCACACTATTTCATTTATTACTGACATATATTTCTGACATCTAAGAGGGGACGAGTTTCCTCCCCTGTTAACTTTTTAAAAGTCAGAGTAGCACTTGCTAATCTTCACAGCTTGTTTTACCAAGTAAACTTTGTAATGATTTTATACAATTTTATCAAATACTTATAATCGAGTGGTGATTACAGGAAATCTCTAGACTACTTAAGGAACTAATTTTTACTGCTTTTTTTTTGAGACAAAGTCTCACTCTGTCACCCAGGCTGGAGAGCAGTGGCGTGATCTTGACTCAATGTAACCTCTGCCTCCTGGGTTCATATGATTCTCCTGCCTCAGCCTCCTGAGTAGCTGGGATTATAGGTGCCCGCCAGCAGGCCTGGCTAATTTTTTTATTTTTAGTACAGACAGCGTTTCAACATGTTGAACAGGCTGGTGTTGAACTCCTGACCTCAGGGTGATCTGCCTGCCTCGGCTTATCAAAGTCCTGGGATTACAGGCATGAGCCACTGTGCCTGGCCAATTTTTATGGTTTTCATCCAAGTTTTTCCATTTAAAAGAATGCTTTGTTTTTCAATTTACTCAAGAAAAAGAATTTGCATTGGACTTCTGACATTCCTTCGTATAAATTTTATCATATCAGGTTCACTTCCAAAAATATACATCTTTCAGTGATTATTAGGTAAAAAGTTAAACATTTTTATCTCCTAGCTCATTACTACTAAAATATAAACGTTAAGTGGTGTGCTACCTTTCGCTATAGTTGGCGATTTTTCTCAAGACTGCCGTTATTTGTTCGTGAAGGTCAATTTAGCATTGTGAACACTGAATGTAGATGCTGAAAAGAGGCGTGGGATAGGCCATGCTCAATGCGTGCATCTCCTTTACTACCTACACAACAACTGGACCTGCTCTTACTTCGATTTATCCATAGGGCAAAGTAAAATTTGTCAGTACTTACAACTATGGAGGTCAAGTCTTCACTTTCAAATCGTCCAATTGCCAGTTCCAGGGACTTATACACGGCTGCTGAGACGCGCTGGGTGATCAGGCGATTGAGGTCTATTGACCTGCCGAGGAGCTGGTGTGCACAGGGAATGAGTGAACAGGAGCAGTCAAAAGCAATAAAAGCCTCACCAGGGCCCTGGAGAAGCCGGTCTATTGGTAACAACAACCTTTACAATGATGTTCGGGACCCAACTCCCCACAGACACAGCAGTCTGGTGTGTCTTTTTACAGGTGTTATGATAATAAATAAGAAAATTACTGCATCTCTATTTCAACGTACTAGGCACATATCCATCCTTCAGTGCTGTTTCCACATAAAAATATGACAACGCCCTGGTGGAAAATGTCCCAAAATGTGCCTGGTGATTGCTGATGGATAGACAGTAGAATTAAATGCAATTTTTTTCACAGTTTTCCACATTTTACTAGTTTTATGCATGTAATGTAACTTTTAATTTCTTTTTTTTTTTTTTTTTTTTTTGGACGGAGTTTCGCTCTCGTTACCCAGGCTGGAGTGCAATGGCGCAATCTCGGCTCACCGCAACCTCCGCCTCCTGGGTTCAGGCAATTCTCCTGCCTCAGCCTCCTGAGTAGCTGGGATTACAGGCATGTGCCACCATGCCCAGCTAATGTTTTGTATTTTTAGTAGAAACGGGGTTTCACCGTGTTGACCAGGATGGTCTCGATCTCTTGACCTCGTGATCCACCCGCCTCGGCCTCCCAAAGTGCTGGGATTACAGGCTTGAGCCACCGTTTTTTTTAAATGTCTGTGGGTACGCAGTAAGCGTATGTATTTATGGGGTACATGAGATGTTTCGATACAGGCATGCAATGTGTATCAGTTTGTAAAAAAATAAGTACTATGTATCTTTAAATTCTTCCGCTGGCCAGGAGAAAGTCCTGTCTGGTGCTTGAGTGTTTCTCACCTTCGTTCTTTTTAAGCTCCAGCCTCTGGGCTCCTGGAGAAGGGCCGCCTCCTCCAGGCTATGCCCGCCCCCAGGAGCTGCAGGGCAGATAGAGAATGCTGCAGATGCTCCCTGTGTGTGAGGTGACCCAATAGAAACGAAGTGTCTTTCAATGCCTACGTTTTTTATTATGATTTTTTTTGAGATGGAGTCTCACTCTGTCCCCCAGGCTGCAGTGCACTGGTGCGATCTTGGCTTACTGCAGCCTCTGCCTCCTGAGTTCAACTGATTCTCCTGCCTCAGCCACCTGATTAGTTGGGACTACAGGTGTGTGCCACCACGCCTGACTAATTTTTGTATTTTTAGTAGAGACGAGGTTTCACCGTGTTAGCCAGGATGGCCTCGATCTCCTGACCTCAAGTGATCCACCTTCCTCAGCTTCCCAAAGTGCTGGGGTTACAGGTGTGAGCCACTGCGCCCAGCTGAAAACCCAGTTTTTTCAATGCATGCTCTGTCTCCACCATAGCCCGGCCCCGCTCACCTGCACATGCCTCTGCTTCAGCAGCGTTTCGTAGCGGTTGGACGGCGGCAGGTGGATCGTGGCTCCCTGATTCTTGCATTCTGATCGTAACCGTTTATCAAGAAGCAAACTAGTATAGAAGGAAGACAGGTTTTTTCATACACTATAAATTGTAATGGGAATGTCCGATCAAATTATGCAATATTTTGAATCAAAGTCACACACCAGATACTCACCTTCCTGCCATGACCTTGTAATATGCAAATATCTGGTCTGCCAGCTTGTAAACAAATTGGTCAAAACATAGATTCACCTGAAGAAAAAGAAAGTACATGTTATAGTTTGATTCCCTAAAGCAAGATCAAAATGCAAGTTGAAAAACAAAATGTTTCATTCAGGCAACTATCTGAGGCTCTTTTATTTTTTTGAGACGGGGTCTTGCTCTGTTGCCCAGGCTAAAGCGCAGTGGTGTGATCTCAGCTCACTGCAACCTGTGCCTCCCAGATTCGAGTGATCCTCCTGCCTCAGCCTCTGAGCAGCTGGGATTACAGGTGCCCATCACCACACCGTGTCGGGCTAATGTTTGTATTTTTAGTATCGATGCGGTTTCAGAATGTTGGTCAGGCTGGTCTTGAACTTGTGAACTCAGGCGATCCACCTGCCTCAGCCTCCCAAAGTGCTGTGATTGCAGAAGTGAGTCACCGCACCCAGCCTGAGGCTCTTCTTAGGAAAAAGAAATCAGGCCAGGCGTGGTGGCTTACACCTATAATCCCAGCACTGTGGAAGGCCGAGGTGGGCAAATCACTTGAGGTCATGAGTTTGAGACCAGCCTGGCCAACATGGTGAAACTGTGTCTTTACTAAAAATACAAAAAAACTAGCCTGGCCTGGTGGCACGTACCTGTGGTCCCAGCTACTTGGGAGGTTAAGGCATGAGAACTGCTTTAACTTGGGAGGTGGAAGTTACAGTGAGCAGAGATTGCGCCATTGCACTCCTGCCTGGGTGACAGAGCAAGACTCCACCTCAAAAAAACAAAAAACAAAAAGCCAAAAGAAACTAGCAATAATCTTACTGTCCAACAACAACACACTAAATCAACTGCAGCGTGGCCAGGAGTGACTACCACATTGCCACAGAAAACTGGACCAGAACCAGTCTCACTGAGGGAGAAAAATATTCCATTCTCTTAACTGCAAGAGAGAATGAACAAGTCTGTCTTCACCATGTGCAGCGACCACAGGGGCTGCTGTGCACTGCAGGTGACTCCCCACCCTGCGTAGCTCCGCTTACTGTGCACTCTGGGAGCCACCACGGAGGGCCGGCTCCTGGGCCTTCCCTGGAACAAAGCGGCCCTTGGGTGTGAGGTTGGTCAGGAGACACCCTCAAAAGACCCTTACTTGCAGAGGGGGCTAGCACTACCTCCTAGAACTGTGAGGAGGGTACCTGTGGTTGGTGGCAAGCGGGACCCAGGGCCCAGTGTGCCCGGCAGACAGGGCCAAGAAGGGAATCTCTGCCCTCCTCCCACCCTGCAGTGCTGGGACCTGGATATCTCCCTGAAGAACCATTGCAGGTGGTCTTTTGAGGAGGCAGAGGAGGCGATGTGTGGAGTAATCTTCACCTCCTCAGATGTGCACACACTAGCATTCCACCTGTGGGAATCTGTCCTATAGAAATCATATGACACCAGGCAGTGCATCAGAGTGCCATTTACAACATCCGAAACAAAAAGACTAGAGAAATGAAACAGGAGTTGCTTCAGAGCAAGATCACGTTCATAACCAAAAACAGGCGAGGACACGCAGTCAGGAGGACAAACACAGCCTGCACGCGCCACGGGAGCAGGTCCACAGAGGAAGGGCTCGCTGCCACATGCTCGCTTCGTGGCTTACACTGTCTTGTATTTTAAAGAAAGTTTATTGCTTAGACGAAAACAAAATGAGAAAGGAGATTTAGTTACAGGAAACGAGCAGAAACGGAGCGCGTGGGCCTCACCTCAGCCTCAATCTCGTCGTACAGGAACTGCTTGTTGAACCTGGTGAGCGCGTAGTGGGCGCTGTCATTGTACAGGTCCAGGGAGTAGAGTACGTACCTGCAGGGGACAGCGGCTGTATCAGCAGCAGCCTCCGCCACGCATTCGTGGCTCCCACAGCCTCCTCGCCTCAGAAACTAAACTCCATGTTTTACCTCTCGCGTAAGGAAGAGCAATTTTCACTTCCAACACCAAATGGTGCTCTGGGAAAGCCCCTGGTGGCTGCACCTGAGGTGGCCACCACACCCACCAGGCAGTGAGGACGCTTGGGACATGACACACTCACTCAAAGCCACACGTGGACAAGGTCCTCCACCTGCCTGCATCTTCTCATTCACCAGGCTTTAAAATATCTCACTACAAGTACATAGCATTCTTTTCAACAACAAGAAAATTGAGTTGTTTTCTTATTTCAAGCATGAACTCCAAGAGTCAGGCTTGGTGGCTCACTTCTATAATCCCAGCATTTTGGGGGCCGAGGTAGGCGGGTCACTTGAGGTCAGGAGTTCCAGACCAGCCTGGGAAATATGGCAAGACTGTGTCTCTAACAAAAGTAGAAAAAATTATCTGGGCATAGTGGCGCACACCTGTAGTCGCAGCTGCTTGGGAGGCTGAGGTAGAAGGATCACTGGAGCCTGAGAGGTCAAGGCTGCAGTGAGCCGAGATCACGCCACTGCACTATAGGCTGCGTCACAGAGTGAGACCCTATCAAAAAAAAAAAAAAAAAAGAGAGAGAGAATAGGCCAGGTGCGTTGGCTCACGCCTGTAATCCCAGCACTTTGGGAGACCAAGGTGGGTGGGTCACTTGAGGTTGGGAGTTCAAGGCCAGCCTGGCCAACATGATAAAACTCGTCTTTCCCAAAAATACAAAAATTAACTGGCATGGTGGTGGGTGTCTGTAGTCCCAGCTACTTGGGAGGCTGGGGCAGGAGAACTGCTTGAACCCAGGAGGCAGAGGTTGCAGTGAGCTGAGATTGTGCCACTGCACTCCAGCCTGGTGACAGAGTGAGACTCTGTCTCCAAAAAAAAAAAAAAAAGAGAGAGAGAGAAGAGTAAACAACAACAACAATCAAAACAATGAGAAATAACAACAGAAGAACAAAGGTGAAGGTTCTGGATTCCACAGCTGACCAGGAGCATGTCCGGCGTGGGCCCATGGCTGAAGGCCCGTCTCCCCTACCTCATGTCCGGACAAAGGCCATGGCCAGGGACAAGGAGTCCCATGCCTAGAGGAGGCCTCTGGGCTGGTTCCAGCTCCTCAAGCCACCCCAATGCTATGAAATGAGCCATCAGAGGCTCTGCCCACAGATGGCATGGCCACGCCAGGGCCACAGAGTGGAAGGCGACTGTCCTTACCACCTCCCGGGCACCACGAGGGAAGTGTGAGGACTGACACACAGGAACTCAGAGCTTCCCACTCGTGGTGCTCAGAAGACAGAGCCGCTGGGTCGCTCCCTGTAAGACGTATCTTTTTCCAAGCATTTTCCCCTACCCGGACTTCACATTTTCAAAGACTTCAGTCCTGACCCCCAGAACAAAGCTCTTTGATCAATACTTCCTTTCCCTGCTTCACCTGGGTCAGAGGCTGCAGCACACGAGAGGCCAGGCCACGGGGGCTCCTGCAACACAGCTCCCGGGCATGCTCACAGGGCCTGCGTTACGAAGGCCTGGGAAGGCCCAGCTTCATCCACCTCTCTGGTCCAGGCTCAGGCCTCAGGCCCCAGCCAGTACCCATGCAAAGCAGGAACGTAACTGGTTCTAGGGCCTGGGCACTCGATTCCAGTCTGAGGCCAAGAAACTGGTTACTTGTATTAATCTCTAAAGCTTTACCTCAGGAAACATGACTTCTGTTTTTTTTGGAGACAGGTTCGTGCTACGTGGCCAGACTGCAGTGCAGTGGTGCAATCATAGCTAACTGCAGCCTCTAACTTCAGTGGCAAAGCAATCCTCCGCTCAGCCACCCCAGCAGGCTAAGTTTTCTTATTTTTGCAGAGACTGGGTCTTGGTATTTTGCCCAGGCCCAGAGACATGATTTCACATAAAATACTAAAAACAGTCCAGGCCCCTCCTCCACCTTGACGACCCCTGGTTGCCACATGCAAAGGCCCGAGACAGGCCCGCGGGACACTCACTCCATCATGGACGCCTCCTTGGTCTCCAGGATGTGGTCCGTCAGGATCCAGGGCATGGACATCTCGATGGGGAACTGGATCCTGCGGCCCATGGTCAGCTCCAGGAAGAACTCGCGGAACCACAGCTGCGAGAGGTCACAGCACTGCTGCAGCGTTTCTGGGCGGGTTCAAACACAACGGGTTATCTCCCCCAAGCAGAAAAACCTTTACAGAGACGACACGAGGGGCTGTGTGCCTGGCACCAGCTCCGCCTCCCTCAGCTGCAAGCCATGCAGCGTGGACATGAGGCAGAAGGGGTCACTGAGGCCTTGCACCAGAGACAGGACCGGCTGGGCATGGCTGCAGGCGAAGCCGCCTCAGCAACCTTTTGAGCCCTTCGGTGGGATCCAAGGAGAAAGCGTTTTTTTTTGTTGTTGTTTGTTTGAGACAGGGCGTCTCTCACTGTCACCCAGGCTAGAGGGCAGTGGCACGATCCCAGCTCTCTGCAGCCTTGAACTGGGCTCAGGACATCCTCTTGCCTCAGCCTCCTGAGTAGCTGAGACTACAGCCAGGTGCCACCAAACCTAACTAATGTTTGTGTTTTTTGTAGGGATGGGGGTCTCGCCATGTTGCCCAGGCTGGTCTGAAGCTCCCAGCTTAAGTGATTCTCCTGCCTTGACTTCCCAAAGTGGTAGGATCACAGGTGTGAGCCACTGTGTTAGACCTAAAAATGTTCTTTTCAAAAGGAGACGTAAAAATGGGACTTCTTTACTTTCACTCAGTATAAAAACCAGCGTCCAGGCTGCACCCTTACAGGCACCCTCAGGGACGCCCGGCTAATGCAAAAGGAGGCCACGCTCGGCCTCCGTCCTTCCACGGAGGCGACAGCAGCAGGGGTGCCAGTTCCTCCACACTTGCAGCACCCCAGCCAAGACAGCGGGGCTCCTGTTCTGAGCAAGAGGTGGACACGGACAGACACACAGAGGGCAGAGAGTGCACCCACCGGTGGCCGGTAACAGGGCCGGGTGTCCCCCAGGATGGGCTCGCCTGGCACAGGGCGCCTGCTACCTTCCCCCATGTCACAGCCTTTGGTGTTTACCAACGCCTGTGTCTCAGCTCAGGCACCAGATTACCTTTGCCTGTGTTTCTGACCCCGCATGGGTTGAAAAGATTTTCTGTTCATGTCGTGGGGCCAGCCCGGCTCCTCAGCTCTTAGCCTTACAGGGGCCACGCTCAGGCCAGGGGCACACTGCCACCGCCACAGAAGGCAGGACGCATCACCGTCTGGGTGCACCAAGGGACGGGGTGGGGGATGGTCAGGCAGGTGGAAGCATTCTAGACATGTTAGTGGCGTTAGGTCATGCTGGGCCGGACGCTGGTCAGCAGTGTCTCTTACCACTGAAATTTATCAAGTGAGTGTAGAAGAATGACTCTCGGTGAAATTTTTCAATGTCCAATATGGTGGGCCCCTCAAGGCTGCTTCTCAGGGTTTTCTTGGAACCACTTTTGTCTGCAATGAGGGACTCCAGCATGGTTCTCACCATGTAAAGCTGGATTATCCAGGGAAACATTTGTGGGGGAGAAAATACACACGGTACGTTAGTGACGCCAAACTCAGCCCACGGGAGGACGGCTCCGCCACGCCCTGGCCGAGAGGGTCCCGCACCAGCTCCCCGAGGGTCCGGGGCCGGCCTGCGCGGCTGCGCTGCTGCTGCTTCGGGGAAAGAACAGCCTGCGGTGGAGCAGCTTGTCTCCGTGAGAAACGTCAAGAGAAACAAACGATGTCTTACCACCAAAGGTTAAAAGGGGGAGGTAGGTGCAGGACTGCCTCAGAAACGTGTTAACCGCATGCAAGAGCCTCTCCATGCCCAGAGACTTGAGCTGCCTGAGCAGCTCGGCCGAGCCCAAGGACTCAGCCATGGTGCGGACCAGGTAGAGCTAGACACGGACAGACAGAGGGAGAGGCAGGAGAGAGACGTTAGTCACGAGACACACTCTCCAGGCAGGGAGAGACACGGGATGCACGCAGAGGGAGGTGGGAGGGCGGCCGTCCCCGGGACCCTCCTGCAGAGCCGGCAGTGTGCACTGCTGGTGACTTTCCAGAGAGTGCCAAAGACATTAAAAGCCTCCAGCAGAGAGATGAGGGAGAAGACCAGCCCGAGGACAGAGGACAGACGCAGCGGAGCGGATAAAGCCGGCGTGAAAGTCGTGAGAAGCACCCTGGGGAGGCCTGAACACACCAGGAGAGAGGACCACGAGACACCAAGCAGGGCCTCAGTTTCCCACGCCCCATCTGTGGGACGGTTATTCGTAAAGATCACACAGACACAAACACCCATCAAGAAACACAGGACATGTGCACTGGTGCCCACATTTTTGGGACACAGTTGAAATCGAGTCAGACTTCTTAGTGCACGTGACACATCTGACAGTCAAGGTGTGACTCACTCAGGCAGGAAACAGGGGCAGCAGGAACCACAGGCGCCGCTTGCTCTGTCTGAGCAGGCAACGGGGACCTCATTTCACCCCCACCTCGACAGCCCAACCCACTCACAGCTCAGGGTGGGTCCCCCCAGGGAGAGGGTGCAGGGGGGGCTCAAGGGACGAGAACCTGAGTGCTGGAGGGTCCCACGGCGCGGCGTGGCACTTTTATGTCAAAGCCGCTCTTGGGGTCCTTCTCGCCCCGCAGGGCGGGGTCGTTGAAGGGCTCGTGCCCCGTCTCCCAGTCGCACACGGTCTTCCTGATGGCCTGCAGGACACTGAACGCCCCGCCAAGTTACCAGCAAGGCCCAGAGGTGGAGACCCCCAACCTTGCAATCACAGCGTCTCCTCGCCCAACTACCATCTCAGAACAGCCCCCAAGAAAATACAAATTCCTCTGGGGGCTGTGGAGGGAGGTGGTAATGGACCAGCCCAACAGGAAAGTTTAAAAGCAGGCTGCCTTCTGGAGAGCACTGCTACTCCCAAAAGACTGTCCTGAGCTGCAGTTGGCGTCTGTTAGCCCTGGGCAGCAGCGAGGTAGCTGGGAGTCATGCTGTGGGCAGGGAGAGGGCAGAGCACAGCCTCCGCCAGCAGCAGAGCTGGGCCCCACCTGCCTACAGCTGTCCCAGGAACCAAGAGGGGTGTGAAGTCACCCACATAACTGGAGCCTGGGTCTGTCTCTCGACAGGTTTGGAACACAACCCCATTACCAACAGGGCTCCACCGTGCGGAGACCCCCATGGACACCATGCACAAGCCACAGGCACTGTAAGCCTGGGATAAATGCACCTTGTCCCGGTCCTCGCACGGACATTCTGCAGTTTACTTATATGTCCACTGTTTGGGTAATAATTGGACCCATGCATTACTTTTAGAGGTAATTCACGAAGAGGGCATCTGGAGGTTGAAGGTGGATGTATTAAAGTCATTTTTGAGAATTTAACACTCCTATTGTTTGAACCCACATTCATCCTAGGACGTGTGGGTGCAGCGGGCACGGGGTGTGGGGAAGGCTGACCTCTGGATGACATTCTTCTTCTTCTTGATGGCCTGCCGCAGTGGCTCCCTAAGGGTCACCTGGGAGAAGTCCTGCAGCGCGGCGTAGACGGTATGCCGGATGGCGTGGTTGAACACGCTCTCCATCCTGCCCATCAGCACCTGCAGGCCTTTGATCATGGCGATCACCTGCGGGGACAGCCACAGGGACGGCCCTTCTTAGGGCGGAACTGCTGGGGGCTGCTCTTCCTCGGCCACAGCACCTCCCAAGCCCTCCCACGTTCTTGCCCTGCAGCTGCCCTCTCCCAAAATGTCTTCTCCAGAGCTGTAGGCAATGCAACTGCCCACGTCTGACTCCCCATCAGACCATGAGCACCTGGAGGATAGGGACGCATCTGACTGAAAACACACATGCATCCACTCTGCACACCGTCCTGTGACGGAATTCAAATGGGAAAGAAGAAAAAGAATCGGGAAAGCAGGCATGATAGGAACTAGAAAAAGAAGTTACAAGAGGTTGTGGCCCAAATCCCACATTGTCACAACACAGGGACACTGAATTACCATTCACAGAAAAAGCCTGAAGACTTCGATTGAACATAATTACATCACAAAGAGCTTCCAGAGTAAATCCTGGGACAGAAGAATTCGGCCAGTGGCTAATTTTTTCCCTGTTTGCAGCCAGTAATTTTGCAATTACACTGTGCTTTATTACTTCTGAATAAACAACTTCACAAGGGCATGAGCTTTCTTACTGCTTTTGCAGTTTATAAATATTTCTACAGCCAACTTCCCAACGGCCATTTGAGACCCAGAAATCTCTCTGAAAGCAGCAAGTGAGGCAGAGCAAGACAAACGTACCCCAAGTCCACCCTGTCGTGTGGACATCTGACGTAAAAGACACCGAAGCAGCACATTTCATAGCACCAGTAAAACATAATTCACTTCCTTTTACTTTTTAAATAGAACGTTGTACTTAAGACTAACACATCTGGGAAAATCTTAAAAACGCTTATTTGGCCAGGCACGGAAGCTCACAGTTACAATCCCAGTACTTTGGAAGGCTGATGTGGGAGAATCACTTGAGACGAGAGTTCGAGATCAGCCTGAACAACACGGGCAGACTCCATCTCTACAAAAAATCGAAAACCTAACCAGGTGTCGTGGTGTGAGTGTGTGGTCCCAGCTACTCAGGAGGCTGAGGCAGGAGGACCACCCAAGCCTAGGAGTTCAAGGCTGCAGTGAGCCATGACTATGTCACGTACGCCGGCCTGGGAGACAGAGCTGGACCCTTTTTCAAACAAAACAAAACAAACACTCGCTTCAACATCTGAAAATGGTCTTCAGTCCACAGTAATAATTTTAAAAGGGTTTTTTTTTTTTTAAAGTTTTTGACAGATTCAAAACCAACGCTTTTTTTTTTTTTTGGAGACAGAATCTCGCTCTGTCACCAGCGCCGGAGTGCAGTGGCGTGATCATGGCTCACTGCAGCCTTGAACTCCCAGGCTCAACTGAAGTTCCTGCCTCAGCCTCCTGGATACCTTGGTTTGAAGCTCGCTCTACAAGAACGCAAATGTGTTTTTCCAATACTTCACACAGTCTCCCTCTATCGCTTTCCAGTTTTATTCACACCTTTTGTGTTCCTCATTACAGCTTTATAAACAGCCTGATTCATGGGCAAATGTAAACGTTTCTGACTAGTATGTGAAACATGGCTTACGTGATTTTGGTGTTTTTCTTTTTCATAAAATTTTGAGGTGGAAAAGTTGACAGTCTGCTTTTAATTCATCCCTTTTTTCTTTTTTTTGAGACGGAGTTTTGCTCTTGTTACCCAGGCTGGAGTGCAATGGTGCGATCTTGGCTCACCACAACCTCCGCCTCCTGGGTTCAGGCAATTCTCCTGCCTCAGCCTCCTGAGTAGCTGGGATTACAGGTACGCACCACCATGCCCAGCTAATTTTTTTGTAGTTTTAGTAGAGATGGGGTTTCACCGTGTTGACCAGGATGGTCTCGATCTCTTGACCTCGTGATCCACCTGCCTCGGCCTCCCAAAGTGCTGGGATTACAGGCTTGAGCCACTGCGCCCGGCCCAATTCATCCTTATATAATGTAAAAAATTTCCAAATAGACTCTTTTCATGTAAGACTCATGGTCTATATGCAATTAAAATAATGAAAATTTTAGAAAAGAAAAAGTCTGGAAGAAAATGCACTCAACTGCCCAGCGCCATCTCCGTGACGGCACTGCAGGCACTGCGCCTTCTTAATGCCATGCCTGTGTTTTCAGAGTGCTTGCTTTGGAAAATTGGTGGATGATTCTCCACTGCTTCTCTAATCAACAAGAAAGAAAAGTTCTATTTAGAAAAGCAAATGAGGAAAAACCCAATTAAGTGAAAATGATAACACTACTTATTCACACCTACAGGAAGAAGGAAAAGGCATGCTGACGGTAAACTGAGAGCTTTAGATGCATGCATTAGAAAACTAAAAAGGATAAAAATCATCATTATCAAACATTCATCACAAATTTATAGGAAAGGGCAAACTCCCCCCAAAATAGAAAAATAAAGCAAAAATCAATGAAACAGAAAATCAAGAGTGACCAACAAAGACAAAGCTGTTCAGTAAATAAGGAATAAAACGGACAAATGTCCAGCAAGAACAACAACAAAAGACAGAAGCAGGCCAAGCGCGGTAGCTCACGCCTGTAATCCCAGCCCTTTGGGAGGCTGAGGACGGGTCACTTGAGGTCAGGAGTTCAAGACCAGCTTGGCCAACATGGTGAAACCCCGTATCTACTAAAAATACAAAAATTAGCCAGAAATAGCTTGAACCTGGAAGGTGGAGGTTGCAGTGAGTCGAGATTGTGCCACTGCACTCTAGCCTGAGCAACAGAGCAAGACTCTGTCTCAAAAAAAAAAAGAAGAGAGAGCAAGAAACACAAATTCCCAGCATGAAGAATGAAAATGGGGACATTAGTAGTTTATAGATTAAGAGATGACGAGCAGCCGGGTGCAGTGGCTCACACCTGTAATCCCAGCCCTTTGGGAGGCTGAGGTGGGTGGATCACAAGGTCAGGAGTTTGAGACCAGTCTGGCCAAGATGTTGAAACCCCGTCTCTACTAAAAATACAAAAATTAGCTGGGCGCGGTGGCACATGCCTGTAATGCCAGCTACTGAGGAGGCTGAGGCAGGAGAATCGCTTGAACCCAGGAGGTGGAGGTGGCAGTGAGCTCAGACCGTGCTGGGCGACAGAGCAAGAGTCCATCTCAAAACAAAAACAAAACTTTTAGAGGCAAGCACAGGAGTAAGCAGGGGTCACCCCTCCTTCACCTCCCTTCCCCGTACCCGACACTCCTCTCCATCTAGACGCAGGCCCAGAGTCCAGCTCCGCACACACGGAGCTGTCAGTGTAGACCCAGGACCGACAACCACCGTTTCTCTAACACATTCTACTCCGACTGCTCTGCCAGATGCGGAGGGCGGCCCGCGCAGGAGCGATGGGTCAACAGGCAGCGACTGCCCGCGTGTGGCCGG